AGTTGCTAGGGATATGACCTCATCTACTTCGTGCACACAAGTTGAAACTTAACACAGTGACTTGTTTGGATGACATGTTGGGCTTTATTTGGTTTATTGGAAAATGTTAAGATCCCGTTATAGAATCATTTGGTCGGGGTTTGTAACCGTTAAATCATCATGTAAAATGTAACGAATAAAAATAGTTGATCTAATGGTTACAAACCTGACAAAATGATTCTGTAATGGGACCGTAGCATTTTCCTCGTTTATGAGTATTAGTGCATGTTTGCTTGCTGGGATGGGATTGGACTAAAATAGTGCAATGATATAGGATTGTACTGTTTGGACTAATATTATTCTATGTTTGGTACATAGGATACAGATTAGGATAACTTTAATTTTAAAAAAGATAAAAAAAGTGTTTATATGGAACATAATGGGGTAAATTACTTTATTACCCATGTGAATAAATCGGTTACAAAACTGAGGTTTTTTCCCTAATCTCCTTAGAAACTCTCCTCCGCAGAGCTTCGTTCTTCATTTTGTCGACCACTTTCAAACTCGTGCTCTCAAATCCCAGCAGCTTAGCCCCAATAAACAGTCTCAATTTCACGCACACAAGCCACCGTCCATTCTCGCCGGAGCCACGCCGATAAAATCTCTGCGAAGCAGCATTCATAGGTTCTTGAGCAGAGTCGATTTGATTTGAAACTTACTCTTACCTTTCAGATTGGGACAAGCTCAATTGGCAGATGAGGAAGAAGAATTGAAGATAAATTCTCCCACAGGTTCGAACGGTAAAATTTCTGCATAAATTCGATACAATTGAGCCCAGTTCGAACGAGACCTCTGCATAAATTCTTCCACAGGGAGTGGGAAAACACTTGCTTATGCTTTGTCGATTGTGTAGACGATTTCTTCTCGAACAGTAAAGTGCCTTCAATTGTCTTTTTTTCGGTTTGACAGTTGTATTTTTTGTTTTAATTTGTAGCAATTGTAGCAATTCAATTGAAACCTTGAAAGAAATTATCTTGTTTATTCATGCGGTATATTTGCATTTTTGGGTGTGATATTCTGCTGTTTGTTTATGTTATCATTATTCTTTGTAGAAAAGATGAGTAGCTTAGCTGGGCAAAGCAGCACCACAGAATTTAGAGATAAAGCCTTGGCATTTATATTGTTGCGGACACATAATTATAGTTGTAAAATAAATCATAGCTTATTCGAATTAGGATATTTGTTTTGTCGTGGGTTGTAACTTTGAACATGATATTGTCTTTATTTAGGTATACTGTATTAGAAATCATGAAAATTGCTTGTGTGGGGTACAAAAGAACATAAAAGTTAAAAGACCACCATTGAAATTCATTTTTAGACCTTATTCCTCCGAATCAATGTTTGATTCGGCCTCCATATCGATCGAATGCTCTTCTTCGTCCTCCACGTCAATTGGATAGTACCTCCTATGACCTGGCTCATTCTGAAGCTCATAATCTTCTACATCGATTGGATTGTGCCTCCTCTGACCCGGCACATTTTGAACCTGATAATTTTCCACATCGATTGGACGGAAGTTTGTTGCTCCCGGCACAATCACATGGTCATCATGTTCTTCTGCCTCCTCATCCGAATCGGTAAACTCAATTGGATCTAAAAAAATGTCTCCAGGACCATCATCGAAGTCTATATCCGCGGCTTTCACGGTTGATGAACAAATCCACACATTCTTTGTACCACTTGAAACCAAATAGACGGAAGAATGTTTGGAAATGTGTTTCCTACAATATTAAGAAGTGCATAAAGAATATAAAGTTGTGTTTTTTTTTTTTTGGTACTTAAAAAACTGAACTAACCAAAAGGACATTAGTCTAATACATCCGAAAAGAAAGAAGTGAACCAAATATGTATTAGTGAAATAATTATGAAACTAATAATGGGAAAATTAAAGTTTACCTCGCCAACATTATTCCAATATATCATGCCCACCATGACCATGTCCTCATCCGGATAACTCATTTTTTTATACCGGGCCGACTCAATCCCGCGGGCCTTAATACAGTGAACCAAACATAGGATTAGGCCAGGATTAAGCGGGATATCCTGCCTAATCCTACAAAGCAAACATGCACTTAGTGCATAACCGTGCAATGGAATGAACTTATACTTTAAGTTTTTGTTTTATATTTTATTTTAAACGTAAAATGTTTATATTTTTTAAATATCATCTCATTATAAAAATAAAATAGATAAAAATGATAAAAAATCATATATTATTACACTTCAATTTACACAATATTGTTTAAATAAGGAATGTCACTAAAATCTTGTAGTTTTGATTTATTTTTATTTTTTTTTTAAATCAAATAATCAATCTGTGAATGTAAAAAAAATCATGGAAAGAATTCAAACTTTAAAAATGAATCACCGTGATTTCCCAAAAAAATTACACAATATCATAGCATAAATTTGAAAATTACCAAAATTTGGGATGAAAAATTATGATGAATACTGAATCAGTTTTGAGGAAAAAAAAATAATTTAGACACTCTTGGTGGCTTCTATAATAGCGTCTTTTTAAATAAGTATGATCTCAGAACGAAAGAAACAAATAGAAATAATAACATTGATTGGCATGGACCTCGTTTCTCTCCTCGTCTCTACTGCCAAAATTATGTTTTTTCTAAATTCAAAAAAAAAACGGGGATAAAAAAATATTTTAATATGGCCGAAAATTAATCTGACCACATATTTATCAAATTTAGCATTTCAAATCAAATGAATTCAAGAGGTCAAAAAATCAATTTTGGTCCTATAAGTTGGTTATTTTCCAGTTTTGGTTCACCAACTTCCCTCCCATTTAAAATAGTCCACTATGTTATAATTTTCGTCAATTTTAGTACAGTAAGCTCGAGTGACCGGATTACGTGATGACGTATAAAAAAGCACAAAGGTACAACAGTACAACTAAGAAAACAACCCCATATGAATGAGATAAGCTAACAGTCAACTAAATAAAGATGGGGGCAAGGGAAATTCGGTAAAGAAAGGGGGCCACCCCTTCTCCTCTCAATGATCATCGCCTCATGGAACATTAGGGGCTTTAACGGGCCCCTAAAACAAGATGAGGTGGCAAACCTTATCCGGAGAAATAACATTGATGGTTTGGGACTTTTGAAAATGAAAACCGACAATAGGCGTCTTACTCTCTTTATGAGTAGGAGGTTGCCTGGTTGGAATTTTTGTGAAAATTTTGACGTTGTTGCTCGTGGGCGTGTTGCCGTCCTTTGGAACCCCGCGAGAGTGGACATTACGGTGGAGGGCACTTTGCCTGAAGTCATCTTTACGAAAATCCACTGTAAGGTTAGTAACCACTCTTTTATTACTAGCTTTGTCTATGGACTTCATTCGAGAGGTGACCGAAAACTATTATGGAATGAGCTTAAGGCCTCTCGGGGGAGGATCTCTTTACCTTGGTTGCTCCTAGGGGACTTTAATGCTATTTTTAAACTGGAGGAGAGACTAAAAGGGGAGAGAGTTACTAACCGGGACACTATAGATTTATTTGAAGCTTGTGATACCTTGGGGCTATCGGACATTCCCTCAAGTGGTTTCTTTCACACTTGGACCAATAACCATGTTTGCTCTAAGCTTAATAGGGCCATGGTGGATCCTCTTTGGGAGAATGCCGATTTCTTCTCACATGCCACATTTCTCGCCCCGGGTATATCCGATCACTCGCCTTGTATCGTGACGATCTTTGAGGCTGAAGCCAATCGTGGGTCACCTTGGTGCTTCTTCAACATGTGGACGACTCATGAGGATTTCTTGCCGTGTGTTTGTGACACTTGGAGCCAATGTGGTTGGGGATCGAGACAATTCCGCCTCACCACCAAATTAAAGAACCTCAAGAGCTTGCTAAAGGTTCTCAATGAGAAAGCTTACTCCCACATTTCTTGTCGAGCCAAAGAAGCCAAAAATGCACTTGAAAAAGCGCAACAAAGGCTCCACGATCACCTGGACGATCCCGATATCAAATATAGGATGCCCTCTCTTAGACTCCAAGCACTCAATTTGGCCAAAGCGTAGAAACTCTTTTATCAACAAAAGGCCAAATGCAACTTTCAAATCAAGGGTGATAAATGCACCAAATTCTACCACGACTTGGTTAAGAAGAGAGCAAAACGAAACTACATTGCATCGATTAATCGGGAGGATGGCACCGTGACCGAATCCACGATGGATGTTGTCAAGGAATTCGTTAGCTACTACGAGGCTCTCTTGGGAACCGGAGTAGAAACAGACAACGTGGACCCCCAAATCCTTAGAGCGGGACCGTATGTTAGCACCGAGCATTGTAGCTCTCTTATTGCCCCGGTGACCCAGGCCGAAATCAAGTCCACCCTTAGAGACATAGAAGGAGGTAAGTCCCCGGGCCCGGATGGCTACACTTCTACCTTCTTCTTGGAGAGTTGGGCCATTGTTGGGAATGACGTAGTTGCGGCTATTCAAGAGTTTTTTCGCTCCGGGTCCCTCCTAAAGCAATGGAACCACACCTCCCTCAAGCTCGTCACGAAGTCCTCTCACTCCTCGAGAGTAACGGACTTTCGGCAATTGCGTGTTGTAATACGGTATACAAGATTTGCTCCAAAATCCTTAAGAAGAATTAGCGAAGTCCTCGACTCCATCATTGATGAGGCTCAAGCCGCTTTTGTCAAAGGGAGGAGTATTACGGACAACATACACCTCATGCAACAATTGCTCCGGCTCTACTTGAGGAAAAGAGTCTTCCCTAGGTCAAAATTGACCTCCGAAAAGCTTTTGACTCCATTTCTTGGTCATTTTTTAGGCAAATGCTCGAGGGCTTGGGCTTTCCATCGGTCTTCACAAAGTGGGTTGTTTGTCCCATTTTTGTTGCATTTTTTGTTATTATTTTCTCATTCTTTTCCCCCCATTTTGAGTCATTTAGTTGGTTTTAGGTT